CACAACAGGCAGGTTCTCAGAAGTTACACAAATCTTTATTTTAAATGTGCTAAATTGTAAATTTATTTTGTCATATTTGCATTATCAGTGCCATTGATTTTCCTGTGAAGCCTACAGCATTTTCTACCTCTGTTCCATGTTTATATAGCACAATGAAAATGCACACTGCTTCTCAAGGCTCCTAGCTATTTACAAAATACTATTTAGTAAAAAGACAAGCTTTTTTTTTTGTTCGTAGTGGTTTTTGTCATGAACAAAACCTTTTCCTTTTAAACCTATTAGCTTGCCTCTAATTGACAGAATAGATAAGTTGAATAAAGCTTTCCTGATGTAAACAGACATGTAAAACATGCTACGTGATACAACAAAATCTTGGAAATCAATTTACTGAGCACAGCATAGTCTTTTATTTAAAAAATTGCTTCACAGCAAAAATTAAAAAAAGAAACATCCCTCCTTCTTAAGTTTTGAGATAAGAAATTATTTCCCCTGTTACAATGTGAGAACAATAATATTCTTGCAAGCTTCATGTATTTCCATTTTGTTCTTTTCTCAACAGTGGCAAAAAAGTGAATTCGAGAGAAAAAATCCCAACAAAAAAATTCTGCAAATTTCCTTACTGGGAGAAAAAAAAAAAATTAAAAGTTTTTTTTCTTTTTTTCTTATCTCTTTGCCTGGAAAAACTCCTGTCACCTTCACTTTGATAAATGCCTGTGTAGCGTAGTTCAAAATTGTGTCTCACAACCTCTACCCTGCAGCAGCTGGGACTTCTCCTAGCTTAAAACATTAATTCAATTTTATTTCCATTTTTTTTTCCCCCCGGACTGAGAGATACTTGGTTTTGTTTTCTTAGGATGAAAAAAGGAATCCCTGGAAAAATACATTTTTCTATGAAATATTTGAAGTGGAGGACACAGGTGGGAAGTTTCAGTCTGAAAATCAGCAAGCTAAATGGTTTTTATCTCTGACCAGTCTGTCTGATACAACATAGCCAAGATTTACTAATGTAGCATAAAGGAGGAGAATTTATCTCAGCCTTACTTGCCTTAAATATAATCTTCATGAACTCTACTACATTGAAAGAAAATCCATGCACTCATAAGCCTCTGCCAGAGACAGTATTTATATGAGAAGAATCAGCAGAGGCTGGCAGCAAGAGGGGTGGTAATAAACCTCTTCACTCAGAAGATACACTGACGCCAGTTCGAAAGCAGCCAGTCCCTAAGCCTGTAAGTCCACAATGTATATGCTACAGTTTATGTAGATGTTTTCCACTGCCACAACAGCTATAATGTATGCAACATGGTCATTGATTAAAAACAATGAGCACTTTGGGGCCCTCACAAAAATGCAAGCCCAGATAAAAATCATAGTCACTTCTCAGTGTTAAGGAAAATGAATAATGAAATATAATGGCAAGTAATGTAAGCAAAAAACAGATTGAAAGAAGTACGCCCTGCCAAAATAAACAAGAAGCATAGAATTGTGCAACTCTTAATTCCCATTTCTATTCAGAGCTTAACTGGAATGTATTGGAGGCAAAGTACACAAATGAATGGCAAAAATTCAGAAAGCCCAGCCATATTTTCCTTCATTTCAGAGGCAGGGTTGTCTCAGTTCTCAGTCTATAATGACACAATTATCCAGCCCTGCTTCTTCAAACTCACCTTTACTAAAACAAGTTGTACAGGAGACCAATGCTCACTTCATGTGAGCAGATGCACAGTGTCACATGTCACAAAGCTTGCATACAGAAACATACACCAGCACATGTTGAATCAGCAGCAGCTCCCCTTAAAATTACTTTCCTTAAATGACTGGGACTGCATTTAGGCTTCTAAACTACCCTTACATCCTATTCATTACAACTACACAAATAACCCAAGAACCAGATTTGACAGTAAAGTTAAAAATTAATTTCTCTCCCGCAAAACATCACATTATCAAAGAATCATCAAGGTTTCAAGAGATATTTAAGAACATCCAGTCCAGCTGTAAACCCAGGGTCAGCATAACCACCACTAAACCACATACAACCCCAAATGCTCTCCTCATTTATTCTTGCTCTCTACAAATCCTCCAGCCCCACTGCAAAGCTGAGAAGACAACATCCTGTTAGGAACTAGAAAGAACACAAGAATTCATTTTCTCTTCTTGAATAAAGAGAAAACCCAAATGTGATCCCTGAGTCTCAAATCCTATTCAAGCCCCTTCACCAACAGGTTCCCATTATACCTTCAAAACCCAGGCAGATGCTCTAGGAGCTTAATTATGGTTGAAGCTCTAATTCCCCATTTGCTTAACTCCTAGTCATTCCTATCCCTGCTTCCAAACACAGGGTCAGTGAAGTGGGACAAGACTGTTAAGAGAGTCATTATAAACATGAGACATTTAGGAAACTGATCCAATCAAACCTCATTCAACAACCTCTCAGCTCAAGAGATACCTGGAGCCAATGAACAGAAGAAAATGAGCTCCTCTGCTGCTCTGATCCCAGTTTTACTCTGCAGAAGCCATCTAACTTGAGTTAGCGTTTGCTTGTGAAAGCCTTCTGCAAAAGGTTTATTTTTCTCACTATCTGTGTGCAAAGACATACACAAAATCAGATGTCACCAAAAAGTAAGCACACCTAAGGCGAGTTGCATCACCATTTTTTTCTCCTATTTTAAAGAGAAGATTGACTTCCCTGAAATGAGAAAAGACACACTAAATTGTAAACATGAACTGCAAAGAAGCATTAGCAGAATGGTACTGTTGTGCCATTCAGAATGTCAGCAACTTGAAAATCCTTTACAGAGTAATTGCATTGGTCAAGAAACTGCGTAATGCTTTGCCTGGAAATGACATCCTTTTGCAACTTAACACACTAACCAACACAAGATAAATGATTCTTGGTTTAGTTTCTGGTGGCAAATGGGGGAATGACATGGGAGTACAAAAGGAGTTGATTACAGAATTTGGAAAAGGCAGAAAAGATAGACAACAACAAACAAATGTGAAACATCTCATCATATATGCAGAAAAGCAAGACAACAAGAAACAAATGTGAAGCATCTCTTCATATATCACATATCATATTAGTACCTCTTAATCATCTTGAATTCATTTGAATTACCTGCTTTACTTCAATTGTAGCATATTTTAAATGACATGCTGGTTAAAGAAATTCCTGTAGGTGGTGATCCCTCCTCTGTGACTCAGTAACAGCATGTCTGTAGTTGTAAAGATAAGGTTGAGGCATTTGTACTCTGGTTTAACCTCCATCCAAGCATGTTTGGCACAAACACTTGTTAGCCATGAACAAAGAAGTTTTGCTTTTCACCATACCTATGCCAGCAAGTGTAATTATTCAAATCCCTACAGGAAGCAAATGCCCAGCAGGCACATGCATGTTCTAATGTAATTCTCTAGCAAGTTTTGACAAGAAGCCAAAGAACCACAAAGAAGTCCAACTCTATACACAGCTTTCTAATATTTCTAATACATAAATAGTTCCACTTGCCTCTACTCATTAATGTTTTCATATGGCATTCTCTGAAGTAGAAGAGAGTTGTAGAGTACATCTTTCATTTTGCTGGATCTCTCCAGAACTACAGAGCTCCTCTAGCTCTATCAGACAAAACTAGTTCTACATCTCATAGTCCTAACAGTTTGTTTTTAACTTGAGTCTGGTTTTAACTTGATGGCTGTGATGGAATTTAATTTTATTTGCATTCTTGCTTGCCCAAAGTGCCCAAGACAGCTTCATATAGATAAAACTTGAAATTCCCAGATTGCACATGATGTTCAAACTGTGACGATTAGCTGGATGGCTGCCTGTAAACTCTTCATCATAAATTTTCATTCCACACATTTAAAAGTGATAGGAACATGAAGTGGACTTCAGAATGTCTCTGCAAAGGGCCTAGACTAATCTGTAACAATGTCAGAACATGGTAGATTCTTATTCTCCAACCAAAGTACCAGCACAGATGTAGCATGATGGATTGACTGATTATTATATATACCCACTTCAAAATATTATTTATTTCTGCTGTCAAAACTGGTGCCAAGCTTTGAAACAGGATGGACAGTTAAATACTAAATGTATCTTAATTCTAGCTATTACCTTCACTTCCCTCAATTGATGGTATTACAACATTTTAAAACTCAATTGTACCGGCTATTCCTTTGTGATGTATACCTTAAAACACAGAAAATCTTGTGATCTGGTCATTCAAAGCAAGAATGCAGATTTGAAATTATTTGCCTCCTAATAATCTCATTGGTACATCCAAACTGGAGAGCAGAACTGAATAGCCAGTTTATTTCTCATTCAAACTGAGCCACGAGATACATGAAATGATGGAGCCAGCAGTAAAGATGAAACAGTAGCCTGGAGTTCCTGACTTTTTCAAATGCCTTTCATTTTTAAATGTTTAACAAAAATTTATATTCTTGCTTAGTTTCTATGCTTACAATTGCACTTTTCAGACTCAATATATCTAAAACTAATTTCATGTTTCATATTTACCCATGTGTATACATGCTGTGAAAATAAAAATAGCTCTTGTGTGTAATTCAAACCTGAAAGACACCCCAAATACTTGGCCTTTCATGGCAGTCCCTGCAGGAAACAGCAAGCAGAACACGAAAGCAATACTCACTCTCTAAAGCTCAAAGTTTCTGAACATGGCTCAATGTCCAGATGGAGACTGGTGACAAGTGGTGTTCCTCAGTGGTCCATTTTGGTGCCACCACAGCGTGGTATCTCCATCAGTGACACAGACAGAGACACTGAGTACCTCCTCAGAAAATCTATCAACAACAGCAAACTGAGTGGTATGGTTGCCAGACCTGGGGGATGGGACACATCCAGAGGGACCTGGACAAGTTTGAGAACTGGGCCCAAGGAAACCTCGTGAGGTCCCACACCTGGACCCGGACAGTTCCCGGCATCCACAAAGGCTAGAGCTGAACGGATTCAGAGCAGCCCTGCCCAGAAGGAGCTGGGGGTGCTGGTGGATGAGAGGCTGGACATGAGCCAGCAATGTGCCCCTGCAGCCCAGAAAATCAAACACGTCCTGCATTGCATCCAAAGCAGCGTGGCCAACAGGGTGAGGGAGGGGATTCTGCCCCTCTGCTCCACTCTGGTGAGACCCACCTGGAGTGCTGCACACAGTTTTGTGGTACTCAGCACAGGAAGGATATGGACCTATTAGAGCAGGTCTAGAGGAGGGCCACAAAAATCATCAGAGGGCTGGAGCATCTCTCCTACAAAGACAGGCTGACAGATTTGGGGTTGTTCAGCTCGCAGAAAGAAGACTGGAGAAATCTTAGCACAGCCTTTTAGTAATGAAAGGGGGATTAAAAGAAAGACAAGAACAGTCTTTTTAGTAGGGTTTATTGCAACAGGAAAAGGGGTAATGGTTTTAGTAAAAAAGAGGATAGATTTAGAGTAGGTGTAAAAAAGATATTTTACAGTGAAGGTGACACTGTAACAGGTTGCCCAGATAGGTGGTAGATACCCAACTTCTGAAAACATTCAAGGCCAGGTTGGATGGGACTCTGAGCAACCTCATTTAGTTGAAGATGTCCCTGCTTATTGCAGTGGGTTGGACTAGATGACCTTTAAGGTCCCTTCCAAACTAAGCTATTCTATCAATGTATATACTTGATTGTCTTGGATGATATACACACATCCATCCACATATGTGGGACCTCCATATGTGTATTTTCATCTCCCTCAGGAACAGCCATTGGCAGTTCAGACTGTCAGAAAGTATTGGAATGCCCTTAATGTTCCAGTTCCTCCTATGAATATCCTATTAAATTGTCTTCCTGTTGATCAAACTGTTTTTTTAGAGACCAGGGAAGCTGGTGAGGCTTGAAGAAATGTATTAAATACATCTCACTACAAACTGATGCCTTCCTGTATGCATGAAGTTGGACTTTGTTGGTTTTGGCAGGAGTTTTCTGCGGATCCTAAAAAGCTGATGAATACAAAAGCCTGTCTCTTTCACATTTGTTCTTTTCTATGTCATTATTTTCACATGCTGGACAACTTTTTTTCTGCTTAACTTAGACTCATTAAAAAATTGCTCCTGTGGCATCACTGTGTATATGCTACTACACAGTCACTCTGATCAAAGGTGAGAATTCAGCGATCCCTTGTTATTCCTTATGTAAGTATACAACTGCAAAGAAACAACAGGAGAGCCAGACTTGCAGATGACTGCACAACAGCTATCTCTGCTATGTTTGATCCACAGCCTACAGGAAACAACAGAAACTTTCTCATTAGTGAGGTTTAGATCTCTTCCATGGTAACCTAAGTACGGGTCTACCACATGCACGTATCCTGCATCAGGGTTCTGATAGCTGAGCTTCTCCTTTTCATTTCATCTCCTGTTTCCTAGGAGTTTGATGTTTTATGCTGAAAATTAACTTCTTTTCTAGGAATTAAGCACCATTTTCTTTAGGAAAACTTGGGTAAGACTCATATTATTTGACATAAATATCTTCACTGTCTATGTGAATTAGTGACATTTGGCTTCCTTCACAGACAATGTTATACAGAGTGAAAAAAAGCACTTCTATGGTAAGATCTACCTGACCTACATAGTAATTTAATTCTGGATATCCGGAAAAGTAAGAAAAGCATTTTTCTCCCAATTGAGTATTAAGACATCCTGGCATGAATGGGTCTGATTTAGATTATCTACCCTGTAGACATCTGCCCTTGAACAGACAATCCCACTCCCAGGTGGCCCAAATTGGACACAGAAGACAAACAACTTTATTCATCGTTTTTACATAATGACTGTGGTTAAGCAAAACTGAAATAGAAGGCAGTATCTGTGGAATAAGAAAAACCCAGTGTTTGCTGCTGTGATATGAAATCAGTGGCTTAACAATCTAAACAGAGACAGCTTATCAAGCCCTTACCTTTGGGGATAGTAATCTGACAGCCCAGGTCACAGTCCTGCTGCAACTGATAAAAAGCCACTTCCTGCAGCCGAGCACGCTCCAGCTCCGAGAGGCTTTGAACGGGAACTGACTTCAGCCGAACACTGCGCCCTGACATGCTGTTCCAAGTGAAATCACCCTGCAGGAAATCAAATGGAAAAATATGAAGCATCATATGGTATGCACACTTTAATAAACAGAACCATCTCTTCTACTGCTAGAAAAAACAACACAGGTTCTTCTCACCAAAAGGCCATCTTCTTGGACATCTCTAACCTTTCAAATATCTTTATTTTCCCTACAGCAGCATTCCGTAAAAGGAATACAGACATGCAAAACAAGAAGTCAATTCTGTCTGAAGCCATTTAATCAAGTATTGTTGCAAAAACACTAGGATTCCAGTAACAAAAAGCACAAAGCAGGGAAGGGGGGGGGGGGGGGGAAGGCACCCTTGTCTGCTTTTCCCAGTTTTTTTTCTTTATCCAGTATTTGATGTTACTTAATTCTCTTCCTGAACCATTGGTCAGAGCAGCAGACCTCCAAGGTCTCCCACATATTGCTAATCCAACTCCAGCAGACTTGGAGAGTGCACTGGCAGAGCCCCTTTTCCAACACCACCACTGGCAGAGCCCCTTTTCTCATCTCCTCCTTATGACTGAGTTTAGAATGTGATTGACTAAAGGACAAGATATTCCATGTTTTTGAACAGCTGCAATAACAACCTATTTGTTAACATTTATAGAGGAAGACAGCATGAGATATGCTACATCTCTGTAGGTACCAATTATGCTTGGAGAGCAATCTGAAAGCTTTAGCTGTTGCATATTCCACCAGTGAGAACCTACACAAAAAACTATTCTCCTAGTATTCAGCTTGGGCCAGAGAAGCAATCATCACTCAAAGAGAAAAGTGAGCACAAAGACAAGCTTAAAGCCTGACAATTAACTTAAAGTAAGACTTCCAGAATTCATCTCAAAGAGCACAGATCAGTACAGGGAGAGAAAGAATTTGTTTTTCATTCTAACCATGTTAAAAAATAAACATCAATCTTGTCAGTAAGTACAATCTGATGCAGCTGTTGATAATGAAAAAACTGATGCACATCAGCTGGGCAGTAAAAAACCCACCAATCTGTCTTTTATCACAGCACAGGAGACTTACAATTAATAAACTTCACTCTCATTTTCAGTTTAAATTTCAACATCCGTACCTTTACTGCATGCTATTTTTTTTCCACTGTAGACTTATGATTCATCTGTTCTGCACATCCATCTGCAGTCAAAGGATGTCCACTGACTTTAAAAATTATTGGCTGAAACTCCTTAATATAGAAACCAGTAAAATTTTACTTTACTTAGCAGTTACGTATCCTTTGCATGTAAACATCTTTGTGCACATTTCCATATACTTTGCCCATATATGTGCATGTATATTTATATACACACATACAACCTGTACATACATTTGTATTTAAACATATATGCACACCTATGATTGTGTGAGTGTATTCATATAGAGGTATGAGATAAAACAAATGTGCAGCACCATTTAGCAATACAGATTAATGGAACTACAGAGTCAAATTACAAAACAAAAGAATACAACACTCTTTTGTTGTGATTCATGAAATATGTTTGAGTTCAGCAAAGGATTTTTTCTTCTTTTTTGCCAGAGTAGTTTTTGTAAGTCATTAGGCAATCACATTATTACCTAAGATTACTAATAAGATTACCTTAATGTCAACAACTGGACTTCAATATCTTAATGCATTTTCTATGATCAATGTCTTTATAGTGTTTATATGCACATGGGCCACATATGCAAAACTTCTGGGCTGCCCCAGTAGTTGACCACTGTAATTTGTTACTTCATTTTTTTGCCTCTTCAGCTGTTCTTGCTCTTCTGGTGCCTTACTGTTGACTAACCAGATTTAGTAACCTCAGACTAAAGGTTTGCACAGTGTTACAAGTCAAGCTTTGTAGCTCAACTCAAGCAAAACCAAACCAGCAGGAGTCACATAAATCTTATTTGAAAAACTGCAAGTAAACATTTACATTTTTTTTAAAGCTGTTGTCATTTATAGATAAAAGTGATCAAGAACAGCATCCAAAACCAGACAATGTGTACAACAAAACTAATTCCTTTCCAACCCTGATAATGCAAAAAAAACTTTACAAGCACAGAAGTATGCCATTCAGTCCTCATGAACATATAACATATGTATTCTACAGTCAAGATGGTACAGATAGAGAAATATAGGTTTTTATGGTGGAGTTTAGGGGCATTTTATCTTAGTTATTTCTCCATCATGAGCATTTTCATGAACAAAAATATCACTGATATATCTACCATAAATATTTTAAATCCTAACCCTTAATATTAAAACAGGAATGGGAAGCAAAAATTACACCCCTAAGAAAATGTTTTGGTAAGAGAATACATGTCCTGTTTCCCGCAGACCACAAAAACCAAATGCAGCATGGCACTTTTAAGAATTACCACAAATTAGGCAAAAGTTTCTTAACTGAATTCTGCATGAATACACAAATTATTCCTCTTTTTCAAGAATGAAATAGAATTATGAAAAATAATTTATAAATTATAATGAAATGAAAAACCAATTACAATACAATTACAATAAATGAATAAAGGTTTTTATTCTGCCAGTTTGCCAAGGCCCCAATAAGTTCCTCATGCTCACTATTTAGCTAAAAACAGTCATTTTTAACATTTGCACCTTGCAATGCCACCACAGCGTGCAAATCATTCTGCCCAATTGCTGTGCACTAAAGAAGACATTCCTTTTACACGCTTGATGGGTTTGATAAAAAATCTCTGCTAGGTCACATTAACATAGGTTTTTATTATGCTAATGGAACACATGACTAATAAACTAAAATATTTTTGGAAAATTATGTGGTAGATAGGGCCAATGAAATCTCCTAATCTTTAAAGGCTCCAAATATGTTTCCTTGAAAAATTCTGTTTCATTTTGCAAATATATTTCACTTATATATCACTGTCTTCTATGAGTCAAAACACAGTATTTGAGAATTTAATCTATTCAAATACTCCTATGCTTTACAAAACACAAGGTAAATTAAAGGCCTCATGATCCTCCCAAAGCACTGCACAGTTATACAAACAGCCTGTAAATTATTGCAAAATCATCCAGGCTTGGGAGCAGTCCAGAAACGTCAAGCTCCCTTGAAGAATGGGTGCTGGTGTAATTACATCTGCCTAAAGCTATTCAGCACTCTGTGGGGTAACCAAAGGAGGACAGGGCAGCACAGATATGAAGAATATTTTCTGTTTCTCTCTCCATATGAGAGGCAACACTTAACCAGCCTAATTCAACATCAGCCTGACCTAGCTGTTAGCTTAAAAGGAGCAGAAGATCTTTAAGCAACAAGTCAGAATGACGTTTCTATTTGAAATTCACGCCCATATGCATTCAGAGTAGTACACAGGTTGCTCTCGTTATTCAGATTATAGGACTGTAGGACTGAATATGCTCTGCAAATGACTCTATCACCAAGAAGAAAAAGGCAACACACAAACAGAAGAGTGTAAACAGAAATACTGTTCTGAGATAAAGTGATCACCCTGACAGGACATCAACTGCTAACTGCACAGCTGCCTTTATCAAAGAATTTTATGAAACCATAGTCTAGACTAAAAGCTTTCTCTGTTTTTCCCCACCAACCAGTCACTTATTTTTCCTCTCAGGTCCACAACTTCAGATACATTTTCTCTCTGGCATACCCATTAATATCTAACATCTTTCCTCCACTCAACTGATCAGTTCACTTACCAGGTACCTTAAATATTAGAGCAGATGACTCAGCAAAGAAGATTACTGGAAAACTGCACCTTTTTTCTCTGAAAAATCTGAATCTGTCCATCTTCCCTGTACTTCTTGTCCACAGTCATAAGCACAATCATAAGCACATTTTTAATAAGATGCAGACTGCAGCTTTTCTGATATTCTTTCAAGCATTTTTTCTAATAGGTTGGTGTTTGGTAACTCCAAAGTAAACGTTGAGTGGTACATCCTGACTTAAGTAACACCATGCACTTAAATTAATTTTAAGTGTGTCTGTGGGAATCCAGGACATCCCTCTGGCTAACCTGGCTGTCTCAAGACCCTGGCAGGGGGCTCAGAGACATTGGCACAAAGTCAAAAACATCCGTGGCTTTGATTTTAGCCCATGAAAAAGGCTGCCAACTTTGTATAAGGAATTACAAGCCAAAAGCGTTTTAGTAGTATGGTCGTTGAATTAACACAGGGTGAAAAAGAAATTTAGGGTTTTAAAATAAGGGGTTCAAGGGAACAAGATGGAGGGATTTGGGCATTCCTGACCTTCTTCTTCCTCTTCTTGCCCTCCATGTCTTGCTGTGATGGTGGGCTTTTTCTGTTGGTTTAAGGTAGAGAAATACTGTCCAACATAAATGATAGGTATTGGCATGTTATTGTAAACATAGTACACGTAGTTTTGAGTATAAAATGGTAACACCACCCAAGGGGGTTGGAATCTGTCACAGACTGACCTGCTAAGCAGACCGCAGCTCCTTGAGAAAGCATGCTACAGATAAGAGAAAATAAACAACCTTGAGAAGCCAACCCTACGCATTCAAGACTTCTTTGGCTGTGTGGGCTGGGAGAAAAAGACATTTTACATCTTGGGGTCACCTTGACCTCCAGAACCCTCAGACATGTCTAAGCTATTCTTGTGTGCCTCTTTCTCCTGAGCCTCTAACAGAAAATCTTGCAGATGTCTTTTAGAAAAGCCTCATTCTTCTTTTTACAGAAACTGGCTGACAACTGCATTGAATGCTGAATGTAGATGCAGATCTATAGGCAGTGATCAATCTTAATTTCTGTGGAGTTTCAAGCCTTAGTGAGTTATGTAGATGGGAAATAAGGCTGGGAAATAAGAACCCTCACACATCACAGTTTTATAAAAAATAATTTAATGCAAGATGGAGTGTGTAATTTTTGTCTCATACCTTATTGCTATTGTTAATGACTTTGGTCTGTATTCATTTAGGTGAACACCATTATCAGATTAGCTATCTACTTTTCATTAGTCTTTTGCTCAAATCCATTTGAAACCACTAAGATCAAAACCAATTATG